CGAGGGGAACACTGAGAAGCCAAACGGGGTCTGGTGACGCAATCCAGGCATCAGCCCCAGTGGAAGCCGCTATCATCCTGGGCGGGAAAGGCTAGAGCTGGAGGCAGCCTTCCCAGAGCCCCTGCGCTGGTCACCTGTCAGGAGCTAGGATGGGGGAGGCACAGACACTGCAGGAGACACCCCTGAAGGCAGAGAGAGGCTGGAATGATGGCCTCTCTTCCCTTCTCCCCACCTCCATCAGCAGGTGATGGGGAGCAGCTGAAATGCAGCACCTGCCTGACTCAGCACTGCAGGGGACACGAGCAAGGACAGCTGAAAGAACCCTGGGCCCAGAGCTAACTCAGCTCCCACATCCATACGTGCCCAGCCCCACACACCCCTACATACTGGATGGCCCCGGGTGAGAGGCCCTCAAACTCAGCAGGTCTCTCACTCCACTAATCTGTTTCCCATAAAACTCTGACTTCCTGTTCCCATCAGGAGTTCTTGATTCTCAGAGTCAGGCTGAAAACTCAGGGGGCCTTGGGAATAGCGGTTGGTGTAACGGCTATGTCGCATGTAGTCGACCGCGGTTCGCATCCCGGACCCAGTGGCTTAAATTCATGCCAGTGCGTGTGCATGCGTGCCCAAGATCCCCAGAGGAGAATGGAGAAGGGATTGTGATGTGGCCATGCCCCCCGGGGAGTGATTTCTCACTTTCTGTCTTTCTCTTTCTGGCAAGCACACGCACCCTATAGCAAAAACCTCTCCAAAAAAAAGAAAAAAAACTCAGGGGGCCTCTTTGGCACCCTCCAACCTCCCACGCCCATACTATCAGTTTCCAGGAGCAAAAGACTGTTTCTAGAAAATACATGTACCCCTCACCTGGTTCCCATTTTCACTGCCTTGGCTAATTCTGCCCCCCTCTGTTCCCTGGCTGCTAGCAAGGGCCTCTTCCTGGGGCTCAGGCTCCCCAGTTAGCCTTTCCCTGATTCATCCTCCACCCCAACAGACCCAAGCGTGTCCTGAACGCCTTACAAACCTGCCTGTCTCTGGCAGACTCAAACATGACGCTTCCGTGGCTTGGACCAGTCTCTGCCTTCCGGTCAGGACTCCCACCACGTGCTCTCCCAGACCTCATGGCCATGTGCACCCCTGCACTTCCTCCCCGCCTGCCTTTGGTCAAGCTGCCTGCAGTCTGACACTTCTCTTCTCCTGGGCAAATAAACCACCCACCTCCAGCCTGGACAGCCCTGCCAAGGCAGCACTAGGTTGGGGCAAATCTTTTGGAATGTTGGAATGAAATTTAACAAGAAATCCCAAATGCTTTAAAAATGTGCTATCCTTTGGCCCCCTAATTATATTGCCAGGATCTCACCTCAGAACATGGCCAGGAAAGTGACCGGAGGTGCCCATCGAATCCCCTGTGTGATGGCAAAGGATGGTCAACAAACAGGTGTTCAACACAGCGGACGTGGCTTACAGCGGACGTGGCTCACAGCGGACGTGGCTCACAGCAGACGTGGCTCACCGCAGCACCGAAACAGCCGTCCAGTGAGATTTTATGTATCCATTAAAGGTGCAAATTATGGACAGCCCAAAGCCTACTGGTGAAGGGAAGGTGAATCCCATGTGGCTGAGGTTCAAGTCCCAGACCTGACAGCTTGAAAAACATAGAGTTCACGTGTGTATGAGAGTTTTTAAAGAATTAGTCAAGCTTTGGATGAAAACCTCCTGGGAAAGCTTCAGCAGAGTCCTCCTCCGCCATGGCCGCGCTCCTGCTCCTCCTCCACCGTGGCCGCGCTCCTGCTCCTCCTATGCTCCTGCTCCTCCTCCGCCATGGTTGTGCTCTTGCTCCTTCTCCACAAACAAGGGCAATAGTGAGGCTTTCGATGGGAGTCATTAGGCACCATCTTCCTGTCCTGATCTGGCTCCTAACACTTTTCATTTCCTCATCTTAAAAAAAATCTTTAAAAGGTACCCCCCCCCTTTTTTTTTTTTTTTTTTTTGTTTTTTGAGAGGGTAGGGCGCATGCACTCACCGGAAGGACAGAGGGAGAGACAGAAAGTTAGAAATCATCCCCCAAGGGGAATGGCCACATCACAATCCCTTCTCCTCCATTCTCCTCTCGGGATCTTGGGCACGCATGCACACGGGCCGGCATGAGTTTAAGCCACCAGGTCTGGGACTTGAACCACGGTCGACTACATGGGAGTCCAGCAACATAGCCATTATGCTAACTGCTGGTCCCAAGGTACCCAATTTTATTTGGTCAGAAATATAAAACAAACTGTATTGACATGGTTGTTTCCAGGACCCTCTACTCTCTGTGATTTCTTTCCCCCTCTTTTTTTTTTTTTTTTTCTTAAGTTTTGCTGTAGAGACAGAGAGTGAGGAGCAGTGAGAAATCAACCCCCTCCCCGGGAGATGGCCATGCCGCAATCCCTTCCCCTCCAGTCTCCTCCCAGGATTTTGGGCATGCAAACATGCCCAGCATGCTTTTTAAGCCACCAGGGCCAGGATTTGAACTATGCAGTTCACCATAACACGTGCTCGCTGGGGCCTGCTATACCCGGGAGACGCTCTAACATGGACTCTGCTCCTGAGGCACTTGGCCTCCAGCTGCAGTGTTAGGGCTGAGGAAGCAGAGGAGGCCCTTGGCCAACACTCTGGGGTCGGAGCAGTGGCTGGGAGAGCAGCGCCCCTAGGGTAGGAGACTCAGCACTAGTCCTGTTGGCCTGCAGTTCCCTTACTGTCTCCAGGGCTGAGGCCCTCTGGCAGCAGTGACCCTGCCTCATCGGAGCTACAACCCTGGCACTCCCCCAGGGGCCAGCCCAGAATAGCTGCTCAGAAAGGGCTTGTGGAGTGGATTTGGAGAACGACCCTGAGGCCCAGGGGGACCAGACCACCCCTTCCAGAGGACAAGGAACTGAGACTCTGTGGGGGGTCCAGGACTGGCTCTGCCTGGGTGGCAAGTCACAGCTTCATGTCCCCCCACCCGTACAAAGATTGGAGCAGATGGTACAGGATGGGACCCTCTCTCTGGCAGTCCCCAGCAGAGGTCTCCCTGGATTCCTGTCAGCCTGCCATATGCTGCATGCCCTGACCATACAGACAGATAGACAGAATCTCTCTGCTCAAACTGAGGTAGGAGTTAGACCACACTGACTGGTAGATAGGGTAAGGGCCCCAAAAGGAAGTTGCTGTGTTTTCATTTTTAATGACGTCTCCGTGTTTTTCCTCTAGATCTGATTAATGTGCAATGTATGCCCCTTTTACATGTCTCTAAAGAATTCATGACTCCTTGCTAATAAGTCAGGAGATAGGGACATTGAGCACACAGACACGATAAGGCCAAGATGGAGTCACAGTGCTGACCCCACAGAGAACAGGGTAACAAGTCATTCAGACTACCACGTAACCATTTCCTAAATCTCACTTTTCAGAAAGCCATCCCATTGCTCAGACTGCTAGATAAAAATCCCTTGCCTCCAGCCTTTCTTCAAGCGATCGGGCCTCCTTCCACTATATTGGAAGCTCTTTCTCCTTCCCTAATAAACTCCGCTTTGCTCTCCTCTCTGTGTCTGCGTCTCTAATTCTTCATGAGCGTAGGACAAGAACTGACATGGGTATTGGGTCTGATCACCCAGCACTGCTGCCTCAAAACCTCCCACTCACCATCCTCCTTCACCACAGCACCTCACCCACCTCCCTCCCAGCACCCTGAACTCGCCACTCACTGTGCTGGCCCTTCCCCATACCCTGCCAGATGGTACCCCTGTGCTCAGGTCCGCCCCGCTCCCTCCCTCCCCTGGCCTCTCTCAGTACCTTCAGCCTCTCCATTCCATCCCATTCTCTCTGACACCCCACCCCCACTGGTGCTCTGAGGACTCTGTCCTCGCCAGCATCACCCTCGCTCGCTGTCAAATCCAGGCCCCCTTGGCGTTCTTACTGGGCTCCGGCACGGCTGACCCTGCGACACCTCCCCTCCTCTCTGTGCTGGGCCCTGTCCTCCACTGATGCCTCCTTCCTCCCCTGTCCCTCATGTCAGTGGCCCCCAAGGTCTGCCTCTACTTCTTTCCGTCTCTGCCTTGAGCAGGAAATGATGTCCATACTCTTGTCTTTGACCCTGATCTCCCACTTGATTGCCAGACCTCTGCATCCGGTTCCCTCCTGGGTCCGCAACCCGCATGGTCTCAAACAAACTCCCTCCACCTTGACCTGCTCCTACCCACCAGTGTCCCTCCATCTGCCTACCTGGACGTCACTCTAGATACACGCACACACGCATTCAAATCAATCGCCAAGTGCCTCTCTGGGTTTCTCTGTGAACCTGGGCTAAGTCCCTCTGCAGGTTTCAGGCGATCCTTGGACTCATTTATACCCAGGGTCCCTGGAACAAGGGCTGTCTCTAACTGGCTTCCCCCTCTGGGACTCCCAGAGCTCTCTCTGCCTGAGGTAGTGACTCAGTCCCTTCCCTGCAGACTGGGCACTGGCAGTCCCAGGAGCAGCCTGACATAACCCAGACCCGCCTGCCAGGACTATCAGTTTCAATCCCAGTAGATAATCTATCAGCCACAATCGTGGATGGCAGGAGTATCCATGTCCCTCGGTCAGATCTAATCTGTCATCAACCCTTGCCTGAGCTGTGGGATTCCCTGGGGCAGGGTGGAAACCTTAGAGATGGAAGAGAAGAGGAAACTAGAGCTCTCCCAGTCCAGCTGCTTCATTTTGCACAGGGTGAGAAACGAGGCCCAGAGAGGGGCAGACACCTGCTCCAGGTCTCCAGGAAAGCCAGGCCAAGCTGGGCTAAATCTGTGGTCTTCCAACCCCAGGCAGGGACAGACAGGCAGGGGGTGGGGGCCAGCATCCTCTGCTGCCTCTTACTGTGCTCAAAGGTCGTTGTCAGGGTGGCAGGATTTTCTGCTTGACCTGTTAAGATTCTGGGAGGGCTAGGGGAAGGGGAAGAGGTAGAGGGCGGGGAGGAGGAGGGGCTTCAGGCACTATTTCCAGGCCAGGACATTCCAGGGCTCCTGAGCTGCTAGGCCTAGGGGAGAGTTAGGTGCTGCTGAGGGCTCTGCCTCCTACCTGATCCTGACTGTAGGAGCCTCCAGGACTACAGGCCAGGAGGGGCTGGTGGGAGCATTCCCCACAGAAGGCATCATGGGCTGCGGGAAGCGGGCCAAGTGGGCGCTTGCCGGCAGTGCCAGCGTGGCTCTGGTGTTTGCCATCGGAATGGTCCTGGGCTTCACTCTGCAGCGGCGCATCCCGCCAGGTAGGAGCCTCCCCTCATGCTCTTCGTCCAGCTTCCCCATCACTCCTTCCCGACTCTCAACCTCAAAAAGACTCATTCCTCACCCACAGCTCCATGAGGGGACTTCAAAGAGTGCATGGGAGGGAGTGGCAGGTGGCGTGGTAGTTAGGGTGCTGGCTCCCACATGGCCGACCAAGGTTCATGTCCTGGACCTGGAGGCCTGCTTTCTCATTCTCCCTTTCTCTTTCTCTCTCTGGTCAATTTGAAGAATAACGATAAATGGGGCCAGCAGTTGGCGTAATGGCTATGCCGCTAGACTCCCATGTAGTCGACCGCAGTTTGAGTCCCGGACCCGGTGGCTTAAAACTCACGCTGGGCATGTGTGTGTGTGTGCCCAAGATCCCAAGAGGAGAATGGAGGAGAAGGGATTGTGGCGTGGCCATCCCCCCTAGGGGGTGATTTCTCACTTTCTGTCTCTGTCTCTGTCTGTCTGGCGAGCGCACATGCCCTATAGCAAAAACCTCTCCAAAAAAAAAAAAAAGTAAAAGAATAACGATAAATAAATAAAATGAAATGTTTTTGAGGGGAAGAGGTTTTTTCTATAGGGCACATACATTCGCCAGAAAGACAGAGAGAGACAGAGAGACAGAAAGCAAGAAATCACCCCCCAGGGAGGATGGCCACACCGCAATCCCTTCTCCTCCTCAGGATCTTAGGCACGCACAACACACATGCCCGGGGTGAGTTTAAGCCACCAGGTCCAGGACTCGAACTGTGATAAACTACATGGGAGTCCAGCGGCATAGCCATTACACCAACTGCTGGTCCCGAAATGAAATATTGTTAAAAGTTTATAGAAAAAATGAAATAAAAGTACGAGTTTTTTGTTTTTTTGGAATAGGGCGTGTGTGCTCACTAGAGAGAAAAAGAGGAAGGGAGAAATCACCCCTGAGGGGAGGACCACTCTGCAATCCCTTCTCCATTATTTTCTCCCGATCTGAGACGCACACATATTGTGCCCAGCATGTTTCTCAAGCTGCTGGTCTGGGACTCAAACCACACAGTTGGCCATGAGGGATGCAGCTGCCTTAACCACCATGCCACCAGCTGGCCCAGTACAAGTTTACTTTCGTGAAAAAAAAGAAAGAAGAAGAAAAAGAGAGGAAGGAAGAAATCCACACATAGCTTTTTTTTTTTTTTTTTTTTTTTTTTTTGAGAGATTTTCACTGTAGGGCGCGTGTGCTCACCAGACAGAGACATAGAGACAGAAAGCGAGAAATCACCCCCCAGGGGGGATGGTCACGCCGCAATCCCTTCTCCTCCATTCTCCTCTCGGGATCTTAGGCACGCACGCCCGCGCGCCCGGCGTGAGTTTTAAGCCACCAGGTCCGGGACACGAACCGCGGTCGACTACGTGGGAGTCCAGCGACATAGCCATTACGCTAACTGCTGGTTCCCCACACATAGCTTTTTCAAAATATTGATACATGTTTTCCACCGACTTTTTGAAAACCCCTCATATTTGCTTCTTGATCCCCAACCTTACAGACTTCACTCCTGCAGAGGGTCCCGTTAACTTTCTTTTCATCAGCTGTCTGACGGGCACCGGATCTTAGCCTGCAGCCCAGACCTCCCTCTTGTGCCCTCGAATGAACGTATCTTCTTGGGGGTCGTGTGGGCACCTGGCTCATAGAGGAAGCTGAACCCCCACACTGTCCCCCACCTGCTCACCCCCCTTGTCTCTCTGTAAAGGGCCTCCATCCCACAGGCCCCTGGGATCTGTCTCATGCCTGTGCTTCACACTCCTGAGCCTCGGGGCTCTGGATTCCTGCCCTATACCCTCCTCCCCCCTGCCCTGTCCACGGACTCCAGTTCTCATCCTGCACCCCTGCAGTGGCCTTGCTCTCCCACCCTCTGCATGGCCCCACCAGCCCACGCAAGCTCTGCAGCCCGGGAGATCTCTAAACGCGAACCTTCGCACACCCAGCTCCTCTGCACCGAGGTCACTTACTCCCACCTGTCCTGCCTCTCTGTCTTGCCCTATGCCATTCCTCCAAGCTCCATCTGTACCCGGCCAGAGGCCACTGCTTTAGGCAACCACGCCCTTCCCCATGGCCAAGCCTTCGCTCAGGCTGTCTCTGTCTGAAATAAACTGTTTCTCCTTTTCTGTCCAATTCACACCCATCAGAGCCAGCAGGTGGCATGGTGGTTAAGGTGCTGGACTCTCGTATGGCAGTCCATGGTTCACATCCTGGACCTAGCTACTTGCTTTCTCACTTTCCCTCTGTGTGTCTCTCTCTGGTGAGCGCATATGCTCTATAACAATTTAAACTAATAATAAATAAAAATGTTTAAAAAATTCACACTCATCCTTCAAGTTCCCCCTTAAGTTTTCTCTTCTCTAAACTTTCCCCCTATCCTGACTGCCCCCAAAGTCTACGTATTTCCCTCTCTTGCAGCACTGGTGACTCCAGGTCTCGCTGTCTCTCTGCTAGGTTCTGTGCTGGACACACTGAGAGCCCGGGGAGGGTTGAGGAGGGAATGGGCAGAGCACAGGGACTGGGGCGGAGATCAGTGCTCACAGCACCTTTGGCGTGCGTTCCAGGCTGTGAGCAGGATGCGGCCTGCCGCCCCGACACGGACATGCTGGACTACCTGCTGAGCCTGGGCCAGATCAGCCGCCGGGACGGCCTGCTGGTCACCTGGTACCACGCGGCCAACAGTCAGGAAGAGTTGGGAGCTGCCCTGAGTGGTAAGTCCAGCTGTCAGGACCAGGGCAGGCTTGGGTGGGGAGGGGAGGGGAGAGGAGGGAGGGAGAGCAGATTGAGGGTACGCCCCTGTGGTCCCTGTGGCACTTCAATGGCTATTTGTGTGTTCTCGCCATACTCCATACAAGGAATTGGGTGCTCAGAGGAATTGAGGGACTGGCTCAGTTCTCGCAGTTGGTCAGCTGGAGCCTAGGACGTGAACCAGATGTCCGACTCCAAAGTCAGCCCTGTACCGTGCTCCCTCGCAGCTCCCCCTGCCGTGACTGTCAGGTGCCTACGGCCCTGCTGAGGAGGCCTTTGCCCTCCACACCCAGGAAGCGAGAAGGTCTGAGTTTGAGGTCCAGCGCTACCAGAGAGTGAGCCCGTGAGCAGACACGGAAGCTGAGTGTCAGAAAAGGCGATTATGGCAACTGGTCAGCAAGGTGCAGGTGTGGGGCATACGCTTTTTTTAAAAAAAGAATTATTTTATTTAACTTTATTTATTTTAATTTGACCAGAGAGAGAGAGAGAGACGGGAAGTGAGAAAGCCAGCTGCCAGGTCCAGGACTTGAACCGCAGTCAGCCATGTGGGAGTTCTGCACCCTTAACCACCATGCCACCTGCTGGCCCCACATTTTTTTAAAGAGGTTTTTGTTTTAGGGTGCATGTGCTCACACAAGAGAGAGACAGATGAGAAAGGAGGTGAGAAATCCCTCCCCTAGGGGGGGATGACCACACCACAATCCCTTCTCCTCTCAGGATTTTGGGTATACACACACATGCACGCAGTGTGAGTTTTTAAGTCACAGGTCTGGGACTCGAACTGCAATTGGCCATGTGGGAGTCCAGCAGTGTAATCACTACACCATCTACTGGCCCCTGGGGCATGCACTTTGCATGTCATGAGTTCTGGGACTCCCAGGCAACGAGTCTCCTGGGTACCATTGCATAGAAGACAAAGCTCAGAGCCGTTAGGCAGCTCACCAAGGCCCGCTGGCTGATGGTGGGCAGTTCCAGGGAGAGGCCCAGAGTCTTGGGCAGACAGGGAGACACGCAGTCCTTCAAGACGCAGTGCTCGGGCAAGTGCCAGTCAACTGGGAGGAGCAGCTGTGGAAGGTGGAGGGAATGGTCCTCGAACCTGAGTGTGCTGGCCCCACTTCCAGTTTCTAATGCGCTGATTCTGGGATGGGACCAGAGCATTCACGTTTCTAGTGAGTTCCTAGGTGATGCTGAAGCTGCTGGCCCCAGGACCACACTTGGAGAACCACTACTCAAGAAAACCCCTGCCACTTTGGATGAGGACACTAGGGTCCAGACGGGAGAGGGTCTCGTCCGAGGTCACACTGTAAACCTGTAGCAGAGCAAGGCCCAGGCTCTTATTCCTTCAGGGAAAAAATAAGGTCCCAGGGAAGAAATAAGGTCCTGTGGACCTGGGAGGAAGTGCCTGGGAAAGGTTTGCTGAATGAATGAATGAACGAATGAATGATACACTGGTTAGGGAGGACTTCCTAGAAGTGGTAGGCTTGATGGGCAACAGGGGCAAGCCCATAGCAGGCCGAGTGAAACCCACTGCTGCCTTAGGGATCTCCTCCAAGGGGAGGCGAACTGCTAGACCTTCGTGATAAGGAAATAGTGAGCCTTCTCTCCTGATGAGGGAGCCAGGCTACAGGATAAGTCCTGAGGGGCAGCAGGAGACCTGCCACCCCCAGGTTATCCCAGTCAGCCCGCAGTAGCAGAGGAGTCATGGGGGCCTCACATAGCTAGATCTTGGCCATGAAGAGAGCCAGGACCCCAACTGGGCAGTGCCTGACATCAGGAAACACGGAGAAGCCCCTTACTCTAGCTTCAGAGAGCTGGAGTGGACCCCAGACCCAGCTTTCCTGACTGAGGGTCCTGCCAGGTCCCTGGAGTAAGTCTCTGGGAGGAGGTGGTGCCATGACTGAGGTGAAGACCCTGGGGGGAGTCAGTGAAAGACAGGCTTGTGAAGCCACCTTGGATATGACTAGACACCTACGTGGAGAGGAGGCCAGAGCTCAGGCCAGAGAGGGCTGTTTTCCTTGAGCCATGTGATACAGGTGACCCCACTTGTCCACAGCGCCACTTCCTCTCTGTGAAGGGGGTGTAGTAGGGCAACCAGAGCATCCAGGCCAGGGCACTGTTGGTAGTTAAAGAGGCTATCACTAACCATTGTGCTGGGACACACACACCAGGTGGGCCCAGTCACCCCAGGTGAGCGCTCGGCCCACACTGTGACGGCTCACCCAGCATCAGCCTGTCCGAGCACAAGCTCTGGCCTGCACTGCCCAGCATCCAGGTGGTTCCAAGTCAAAAGGTGCTTGAAAATGGTTATCGAAAGATGAATGACTGGGGCCAACATGTGACATGGCGGTTAAGGTGCTGGACTCCAACATGGCCGACTATGTGGTTTGAATCCCAGATCCAGTCACTTAAAAATCAAGTGTATGCAGGACCAGCAGTTAGCGTAATGGCTATGTCACAGGACTCCCATGTAGTCGACCGCAGTTTGAGTCCCAGACCCGGTGACTTAAAACTCACGCTGGGCTGCATGTGTGTACGTTCCCAAGATCCGAAGAGGAGAATAGAGGAGAAGGGATTACGGAGTGGCCATCCCCCTGGGGGGTGATTTCTTGCTTTCTGTCTCTCTGACTCTGTCTGTCTGGTGAGAGCACACGCCCTATAGCAAAAAACCTCTCCAAAAAAAAAAAAAATTCAAATGCATGCTTGCCTGCCCAAAATTCTGAGAGGAGAATAGAGAAGGAATTGTGGTGTGGCCATTGGGGGGGAGGGGGTAATATTTTTTTTAATATTCATTCATTTTTTTTTAATTTTAATTTGACCAGAGCAAGACACACAGAGAGAGAGAGAGGAAGAGAGAGAGAAAGTGATAAATCAAGTCAGCAGGTCTGGTACTTGAATGGTGGTTGGCTATGTGGGAGTATCCAGCGCCTTAACCACCACGCCACCTGCCTGTCCCCGGGAGGTCATATCTTACTAGCCCTCTCTCTCTGTGTCTTTCTCTGGTGAGCACATGAGCCCTATAACAAGAACTCAAAAAAAAGAAAAAGAAAAAAACGACCAGGTAAATTAATGATAAAAAAAATTATGATCAACCAGTGCAGAGGGAAGTGGAAGATCTCTGTGTAAATAATAATTAGCATTCTGTGAATATTTATATTATTTACTTACTTACTTATTAGTTATTTACTTATATTACTGGTTTACTTATTTTGCTAAAGGGCACATGAGCTTGCTGGAGAGAGAGAGAGAGAGCGAGAGTGAGAAATGACCCCCCTCCAGGGGAATGAACACACCAAAATCCATCTTCCTCCCGGGATTTTGGACACGCACACATATACATGTGGGGTGTTTTTCAAGTCACCAGGACCAGGACTCAAACTGTGTAGTCAGCCATGTGGAATCCAGCTGCCTTAACCACCTTAAAATACTGGCTGGCCCAGTGTTTTATTCCTTTATTAATAAATAACTAGGCGCTAGCTGATGGCATAGTGTTTACATCGCTGGACTCCCACACAGCCGACTCCGCTTCGAATCCCGAATTTGGTGGCTTGAAAATCATGGACCAGCAGTTGGCGTGATGGCTATGTCGCTGGACTCCCATGTTGTCAACCAGAATTCAAGTCCCGGACCCGGTGGCTTAAACCCACGCCGGGCGTGTATGTGTGCATGCCCAAGATCCCAAGAGGAGAATGGAGGAGAATGAATCGCCACATGGCCAACCCCACAAGGGGTGTTTTCTCACTTTCCTTCTCACTGCCTCTGTCTCTCTCTCCAGCAAGTGCACACACCCTAAAAATAATAACAGTGATAATAATAATAATCATGAAATTTGATTATTCTATTACTTAGTCATTTTATACGTATGTCATAATGTAATGCAGAGGAGGAAGTAGAGGTATAGAGAAGTAAGTGGCCCAAGCTCACACGACTCACTAACTTCAGGGCTGGGACCGGATTCAGGGTCTGCATACTCGGCTGCCTCGCTCTCCTGCCTCGATGCCACATGGAGCTCCTGGCGCACGGGAGGGAGGGCAGGGGGCTAGGTAACTGCTTGTCCTCTTCCCCTCTGGAGAGCAACATGCCTTCCCTCCTGACTGCAGCCCCTGAAGGCTGGGCTCCAGCTGTGCCACAGGGCTGTCCTTCCCTCTCCTCTTTCTTCTTAATTTCTTTTTATTTATTTTAATTTCAGAGATTTTGCTATAGGGCATGTGCGCTCGAGAGAGAGAGAGAGACAGAAATTGGGAAACTGTCCCCCATGGGGGATGGCCACCCTGAAATCCCCTCTCTATTCTTCTCTAGGGATCTTGGGCATGCACACACACACACACACACATCTGGTGTGAGTTTCAAGCCACAGGGTCTGGGACTCAAACAGCCGTCCACCACATAGGAGTCCACTATGCCACCTACTGGTCCCCTTCACACCCCTCCTCTGAGCATGTCAACTCCCATGTTGTAATGTGAAGGGAGAAGACCTGGCAAAGATGCTGGGTCCGGGATGCCATCACAGGGAGGTGGGCCAGGCCCACAGTGCAGTCCCCTCAGTCTGCAGTCTCATCTGCTGAGCATTTGCTGAGCCCTTCCCGGCCAAGCCCAAGAGGAAGGTTTAGAGAGGACTAAGGCATGGCTGTCTTCAGGGGGGTCACGGATCTCAAGGGAGACACTGGGTACAAGCCACAGGACACAACCCCGAGCTCGGAAACCTCG